CCGGAGAGCGTCGGCGGGGACGGCCGGAGAGCGGCGGCGGCGGGGGGCGGCGGCCGATGCCCCAGCCCGCGCAGTTTTCCCCGACCCGCCCGCGCGATGTGTCTGGCCGCCCGCGTAATTTTTGCCTGTGTTGAATCTCGTTGACTGGGTGTGAACTGGTTACAGCCGTAGGATTATTTTGGACGATGGATGTAGGGGCGCAAGGCACACCGTGACCCGCCTCTGGCAAGGCATGGGATCTCAGTCCGGAGAAAGGGGGCTCAGCAGGAAGATATGGAACATGGTTTTATAATAGATCAAGATGTAGTACAAGATGTTGACAAGGGGAGCGCGGCTGAATCTGAATTACTTTGCAACTATCATTCGATCTATCATACAACACTTCGCTGAAGCAAAATTAAGCAAATCAAAAGGCGGAGAGCAGAACTGGATTGAGAAGCTAACTTGGAGCATAGGGCGCGCCACTCTATACTACCATTGCATTCCGTATTTCCGTTCGATTTCACTGTACCACCCGCAGCAGCAGCAAGATCTGAAGGAAGATGTAGGATACTCCCCCGATGGTGGCATACCGGAGCTTGCTCTCCCCCTCCAGCTCGGCGAAGTCACCGTCGACGGACTTGCTAAACCCCCCGGCGAGCCATGCCACGTTCTTGTACCCGTCGTCGTGCAGCATCCTCGCCGCAATCAGCGACCTTGAATTGATTAACAGCCCAACCAAAAGCTTTATCCACATCAGTCAACTTGGACAGCACATGCATGCCACTTAATCATCCGGATAGTCTACTAATTACCTGAGGCCTTCGCCGCATGCGACGAGCAGCTTGGCGTCCTTCCCGGCGACGGCGGCGGCGACGTCGTCGAGGAAGCGGTCGTTCATCTTGGTGAAGGACTGCCCGGTCCAGAGCCCGATGTAGCCCAGGTGGACCCACTTCTTGAGCAGCGTCACTGGGCCCATGTCGTCGTCGGCCATGAACAGCGGCACGTGCACGGACCCCCGAACGGCGGCGCGGTCGTGCTCCCAGGCCGGCCGGACGTCCAGCAGCTGGAACCCCTCGGAGCCCATGACCTCCGCCGCGTCCCTCGGCCGGACGGCCTTCACCGCGCCCGACCGCACCAGCTCCTCCGCCCCTCCTGCCCATGACGTCGCCTGCGCCTTGACGCGGCAGTAGCGGCACCGTGACACGCCTGAGGATGCGGAGGAGAAACAGGCGGCCGCGGTCGCCGCAGCACCCATGGACATGGATTCCGCCTGCTCGTGCTTAGTTTCTTCAGCTCCGTGCTCTGGCGATTGTCTTGTTGTCCCCTTGCCCTTGCCAGGGAACCATGGAAGGATACGTTTCCAGGTCTCTTATCCACTATGATTTTCTAGGTTCAATCAGCACCGTCGACACAGCGGGCCTCTTACATTCCTGATCGCACGATCACTCCAAACAGATCAGGCGGTGACGGGAAGCAACTCAAGTTTTTTCGCGGTTCTACCAGCCGCCAAAAGTTCTTACATCTGCGACAAATCAATCTAATCTACTCCAGCTAGCTATCATATGACACGCATGATATACTACAACACATGTGCAACGCAACACACGCACTCCTAGTCTGCCGGCCAAAAGGTGACTAGACAAACTCGAAGCTCATGAGAAGCTTCACGCTCTTGAACTTCATCCCCTTGTGGTCGAAGAGCGGCACGGTGCGGATCCCCGGCCACAGCTCCGACACAGGAAGGACGGTCTGCCCGCCGAAGTCGTCCTCGTTCACATCATACTCGTGCACCTCCACACGCAGCAGAGCGATCTCCGGCACGGTCAACGGGAAGGTGAACCCATCTTCCCACATCGGGACCCAGCTATCCTCCACGACTCTAGTCTTCCTCATCACCGAGTCCGATGGAACTCCGGCTATGCCCACCTGCTCGTTGGGCGGCATTCAAATTTCAGTTCTTGCTTTAGTTGGCGTTGGATTATTATTTTTCACTTGTATACATTGCACGCTGATTTCCAATGTTTTTGGTCACTTCTTTTCGGATTCTACTTATCATTTTGATGATGAACAGTGGTTCTGGCAATACCTTTGCATAAAAATCTGGAGGGGAATATGAATCGAAATGCGTCTGCTTAAAATCGTGCTGCCAACCATCGCCCATGTACACTTTGACCTGAGAACCAGTAGCCACGTGAAACCCGTTTCTGAATTTCAGAAAGGGAAAGGAAACGAAGGAATGCGTTATGCACCTTCAGTGTTTTCTTCACAGGTAAGTCTGCTGTCGGATCGAAAACCTTTCCATCCGGACAAGTTTGCATTAAAAAATCTGGTTTCTTCACATAACCACAGCCTCCATTGGCTTTGTAAAATCCATTCATTAACCAAAGGGCTCTGCCGTATCCCTGCAAAAATAAATGGCAGGCCTTATATTAGCAACAACTGAAGAGCACATGGATAACGAACATAGCACAACCAGTAGCAGAGATAAATTGTCAACCAAAAAAAAATATGCACCATAACACAACTAATCAAGGTAATTCACATCCTGTAACTGGAGATCTTTAAACAGTAGGTATCCAAACACAATAAAATATCTTGCTAAAATCACAACTGCACCTGCATATTGAATGCCACCATTTGAGCACCATGCACCCAGCCAAGAAATGGGTTGTAGTTGGATGAATTGAAGCGGGTCCCCTTTGGGTATATTCTCAGTAGATTTCTTTGTGTAAAGCTGCTTGTAACAAACAGGATGAACACTTCAGTAAGACAAAGAGAAGTGGATCCTAACAGTTCTGATTCACAGAAAAGGAAATGATATAACTGTGTCCCTACATAGTTTCCTGGGCAATTCAATAAATTTACTAAGCGAACCTCACTATCTTCGGACCATGACCTGCCGCCACTTTTGCAAGTTCTTGCTCACTCAAACTGAGGCGCCTAACTTTTTCCGGGTCACTCTTCAAGGCGTCAACAAGAGAACCCTTCGGCTTTCCTGCTTTAATAGTAATAAGGTGTTTATACTCCAGTGGTGCATTCTTGCACACTTTCTGTTCATCATCTTCATCTACACCTCTTTCGTGGTATGACATATCGTCCTGATGGTGATTTGTAAATCTCGACATAAAGATGATGTACGAAAGAAAAGGTAGAAACGATTTGCTTAACTTTGAACCAATTACCTTGTTGGCATCTTGCAACTCATCCTGAATATCGGGGACTTCTATACCCCATGCTGATTCTTCATTTTCTCCTTTGCTAAACTTTGGCTCAATGTCTCTATCTTTCATAGTACCACCCTTTGCTTCAAGGTACTCCTTTGGGGGCTTTGTTGAGAGGATTACACGCCCCTTTAGTGCTTCCGGTGAAGGAAATTCTTGAAGATGTTTTGATTCAGGATAGTACAGGATATCTCCAAATACTTCAAGGACCATCTAAATAGAATTCAGAACTACATTCGAGAGAATCATCCGGACGAGATATAAATCATATAAAGAAAATACAGTACCTTAGCTACTTTTGCCTGAAGATCAGATGTAAGGTGATCTTCTAATGTTATAATAACAGGGTAGGGAGATGCGACAAAGGCATATTTTTTGATGGATGCCAAACATTTCAAAAGTGACACTGGGGCAGTAAGTGTCCTACAAAGAGTCAAAGAATTAGAATGAAGTCATACATATGGAATGCACTTTGTATTTGCAGTACAGTTATCTTGCAACAAATAAATGTTATAGAAAGTTTCTTGAAGGAAGGATTTGTCATATGTACCTTCCATGGAGAATATCTATGTCATCTTTAGAAGAATTTGGCCACATGTCTAATTCAATTACACGAACACCTATTTGCAGTGCCTTGATTATGGGAGCATCACTACAGTCACTGCTAAGTTGATTGCCAGTAAGATATGAGTTGTGTCCGGTGTATATGAAGTAGTGGGACAAAGGTGCATTCATGTCATGATGGACCTGGAAACCATGAGATTTACAGTCAACGGACATCTCAAACCAAATACCACACTTTACGTTACATCAAAATTCAAAACGGAGCTTGTCATGCTAATCCACAGCAGATAGTTGACACCAAAACTTAAATAAATAAAGCAGATAATGGCTAACAGAACATTCAGATACAGCTAGTCATCAGAGTTTTGTAGAGATTTAGTTATACTTTATACTAAAGTGTATGTGTAATACTAATTCCATATATCAACCATCAGCTTGCTGGGCATGATGCATCATGATAATGACACTACATTCGAACACTTAGGCAAGGCAATGCCTAATGCCTTCACATCCCACAAAGAGTTTGTATGCCTTTAAGTTTTGTAGCAGTTATGATAAATAACTTAATGCAGCATCTAAGTAGTATTTGGCACTAGTGTGGCTGCCACATCCAACTACAAAAGAGCAATCTGCATTACGGTTTGAGAAATACCAAGACATAGTCACATGATCCTGTGATAGCGACAATGGCTGGTAATATTCAAATAACATGTTCACCACGAAGCGGTTTGCCAAGCACAGGTCCCCTTCTAAACTGTGATGATCAGTAAGGCCTTAAATGTCACCAATTCACCTCGTCGTGTAACCTGCACAGGAATGCTGATTGCTACCTTTGACTGACGGATGGGCGGGTTGAGGTCCTCGGAGAAGAGGAAGTTGTGGAAGTCATCCACGGTGAGGGCCGGCCTTCCGAAACGCGGGGTGCGGCTGCGGCCCTGGAGGACCCGGTCCACGATCCGCTCCGCCACGTCCATTCCGCCGTCACCGTCGACCTCCCCGGTGGCGGCTAGGTAGCGGCGGAGCTCGTCGACGCTCATGTACGGCGTGCCGCCGGAGAAGCGGGAGAAGAGCGTGCGCACATCCTCCGGCGTGGTCGCGTCGGGCAGCGCGAACCTGCGCGTGAAGAAGATGCAGCACTTGTACGTCCCCATCTCCGCCGCCTCAGCCTCGGCGCCCGCTCCCCCTGGATCGGCCGGTTTTCTCTCCTCGTTTGGTCCCCGGGGGAGGAGACGTGTGGGGGTGGGAGGCGCCTCAGGAGAAATTTCCCTCTCCATTTTGGGATTTCTCGCCCCCGCATTGCGAGTTTTGAGGGCGATTCGAAGGTGGGATGGGGACTAGAGGGAGAGGACGAGACGAGAGGACGAGGAGCCGGGTCGCCACGAGCCCACGACACACGGCGGGCAACGACGGACACACCAAATGGACCGCAGCCAGCACTTGGTGGCTGACATATAGGCCAGCGTGTTCCTGGGCCTACATGTCAGAGAGGCGAACTCAGTTGACTTAAGTCAATCTGGCCACCACAGCAGAGCCAACGGATGGTCATTGGGCGCAACCTAACCAGTCCCCAGACCTCGGTTTCGCTCGCACCCAGTCCCAGGCCGCCTCCACCCTCGAGCGCTTAGGGCGGGCGGAGGGAGGCGCTGGTAGGGTTTGTCGGCGGCGATCGTCGGAGAATCGTCCGATTCCGGGTAAGCATTTCTTCTCTCCCACTTGGCCACCTTCACGGTACCCTTTGCCCCCATCCTTCCGCGGCTAATGTTCCCTCGATTTCATCTTTTTTTTTTTTTTTTGCCTTCCGGGCGCTTGCCTTTTGCCTGGTTCTCGGCCATGGGCAAACTTTCACAAAATCAAATTATAGGGGAACTTTGCGGAACAATGTATGAATACCTAAAAAAGTCAGGGAGAACTTGAAATGGGAAATAAAATAATATAAATAAATTCCAATAGGGAAAATATTCAGCGGATGTAGAAAATAATAATGAAATGGAAGAAAATGAAGTTCAACTGAGTGTTACTTTTCTGTGTTATCTGAATCCTAATTTTGTTTTTCTACACAATTTCTAAGTTCTCAAATTGCTGTAAAATTTTAATCAAATTTACATTTTATTAACATTTTCTGGTATTTTTCCAATGCTGATGAATTGGCTATTTTGGTCATGTACTCATGTGATACCATCTCACCAACAAGATTGACACCTATCTGCTATGTCAACCAAAACGACCCTGGTTGGGTAGTCCATGGACTTGGTCATGTACTCAAGACATGTGCTGTCTCTGAAGTTTAGGGTAAATAATTGAACTTGGCTGCAGTCGAGGGACGTAATGTGCACTTGTCTCTTCTAGGTCAATAATCATGGACGTAGTTACCCACAGGAGTAGTCTGGCTAGGATTAAACTCTTGCTGCTTGGCCCATCTCTTGCATGGTCGTGTGTTGTGTCTTGTGTGGCCAGCTGGGCATGTGCAACCGCTGCAGGTGGGCAAGGTCTTTGATCACAGACCATTCGCATGGCCCAGGTCTTTGAGCCAGAAATTACACAGCCACCGTATGATATGAATCAAATGATTGACATAATCGACTATGTTCTGATAAACATTAATCGACTGTACACAGAGTGTTGAGGCTGACCACCTTTGGTCCTGCTCTGTACACGACAGACATAATTTGTACTGCCTCCGTCCCATAATATAAGATCGTTTTTCAAGCTATGTTAGTTTGAAAAACGATCTTATATTATGGGACGGAGGGAGTACTAGTTAGGTGGATATTGTTTTTGGAATACATGCAAAGCTTGCATGGAGGGTGAAACATGTTTCTTTATATGGGATATTGTTTGTGATGTACCGGAACAACTCTTACGTGGCCTATGAACATTTGCTTTGATAAACACAATTGCTTTTTGTGATCTATTGGAAGAAGTGCCATGTCAGACCACATAAGAATATTTTCCATTTTACAAAATGCACAAAAAAGGAAAAAGTAAAAAATAATAGTGGGCTGGCACAACACATCTAGTCCGATGCTTGTCGCTTAAGGCGTGAGAGCTACATCCAAGGCCCTGAAATAATTTTGGATTTTAGCTGGGTTTGGTAGCTGTGGTTTGGACTTCTTGAGCGTCTGGAGCACACACATCAGGCATGCTTTTAGAAGAAAAAAAACGACTAGATGATCCAAATGCAACTGTTATTTACCTGAAGTTGATTTTTCATGGAGTGATTTTTTCACGGCTAATGGATCTTCAAATGATCAATCCCGTGCCCTGGCTTTGTCTGCGGGGGTTTCTTGGTGCTAGTAGCCGCTATACTGATTGCTTAGGTCGTTCAGGTCTGCTTGGAGTGTTGTTTGACGACTGCTGGGTCTACTATGTTGGTAATTTTAATCTAACTCTCTTTTATTATTTTCTGCACTTGTAAAAAAATCGGTGTTTATTCAGTTTGGACCATGTCTTTGTGACACATTGGAATGAATCTTGTTTGAAATGTTTGTATAGTGCTATTGATTAATAACTAAATCGTTTGTGTTCAAAATCAGATCAAAGGGCTTGTCCACATTACCACATTAAAATGTCAGCAGAGCACATTGCAATTGGTATTACTCATTTCCTATCATTTTACCTTTCCAACATAATTCTTACTTTCTCATGTCACTCGTGCGAATCTAAATTACAGGTCTGGTTGGATATCAAAACGGTTACAAATCAAAGTTGTTGCGTGCATTTCTAAATGATGAGGTAAACATGTACCTCATCTACAACTTCTTTAGTCCATTCTGTATAGTTTTTCTGTTTTAACTGTTTTTCATGTGTTGCAAACTCATCTCATGAAAAGGAAGGAACATGCCTTAGCATTGTGTAGCAATGAAGCACAGATATTCAAATGTGCCTCTCCTGATGCAGCATGCTACATGTATTGTACTTTGATTAATCACCTATAATTTCACAAAGTTTATTGATTATTTATCTTTAATATATTAATATTTTTTTAGATCAAGAAAGCGTGGACATGTTGGGTCAGCATTTTGTGCACATCCTGGTCATGAATCTGATAGAGTTGTCCTTTCAAAGGATGTATCTCTCTTAGATTTTCCGGTAAAATTTCAAATCACATACTTGTATAGTAACTTTTTGATACACATTTTCTGTGTGAAAATTGTATCATCTATAATACAGGATAAGACTGTGTATGCAAGTACAATACTAGGGGGAATGTTCATCTTGGATGGAGTTTTGATTCTTTCAGATGCCAAATTGCCCTTTGCTAGACTGCCAACAGTTGAACTTATTGCTGCTGCAAGTGTACTGAATAAGAATGTTGTTCTCGTCCAAAGCATGAAAGATCCAATAGATGATACCAGAATTTTAGAGCATCACCACGAGATCACACAATTACTGTTGTGAGGAGTTAGTTGCAAATAGGAAAGTGAGAAGGGTTAAAATGTAAATGTAGTTTGTATATACTGAGACAAGGAGGAATGAATCGGAAGATAAGGTTCTTCCAGAAATCCCTAGCTTCCCCCCTTAGCTTCCTGACTAGAGAAGAGAAATCCACAAAATCCAACAACATGGTATCAGAGCAGGTGTTGTAGCCGCCGCCGGCGACCAAGGGAATGGTGGCGCTCCTTGCTGTGGTCGAGGAGAGAAGAGGAGTGCTTCTGGTGGTGGACTGGAGCGAATAGAAGGAGCTGCGGCCAGGGTGTGAGGCGGTGCAGCGGGTTGGAGTTGAAGCTGGTGGCTGTGCGACCTGGGAGTGGTGCTCCTGCTTGTAGCCTTGTGCAGGCTGCTCGAAATCGGAAGCCTCGGCAAGGGTGTCGCCGGCAGAGAGAGCCAGCGCACGGATTGTGTTCGGTTGGGGCAGCAGTTGGTGGAGATCCACTGATTTGGAGGCGAGCAGAACTGTAGGTGTGGAAGCAGGCTGGAGGTGCCAAGCAGAGGTGTAGGAGAGTGTTCCCTGGAGGTGGTTGCGTGGTGTTGCTGGGAAAGATTTGTGTCCAGGAGGAGGCAGGAGCTGTTGTTGTGTTGCAACAGAGAAAGAAGCACCAAAGGTCACAAGTGTGCTTGGTCCTGAAGCAAGAGGATTTCTGGGCTGCTGAAGACCAGGTCAGAGCAGCACATCAAGGAGAGGTTTGCAACGATGGGTGACAAGGATGCCGCTCCATCGGGAGTCACGGCAGGGGAGCTTGCAGCGGTGTTGCAAGCCATGGATGATAAATACAGATTGTTGTTCGAGGCTATGAGCAAGCAAGGAGGGAGTTCAAAACCAGAAGCAGAGGTCAAGGAGGAGGTTCATCCATTGCAAATGCCCCTGGTGAAGTTAGATGGGTCTGAAACCTATGCAAGTTGGGCAGAGCACGCAGAGACAATTCTTGTCTCAAGAAGTCTAGAGGGATATATACATGGGGCAATTGAAAAACCAGCTGATGAGAACTCCAAGGAAGGCCAGAAGTGGAAGATGACCAACGCATTGGTGAGAGCATGGCTGCTGAGTTCAGTCTCACCTCAAATTGCTAAGCAGGTGGAAAGGATTAAGGAGGCGTCAGAAATTTGGCGGCTACTGAAAGGTACATATTCTGGAGTCGGTAATGAGATGCTTGCTTGTAAAATTCAGAAGGAGCTGCAGGGGTTGAGTCAGGGTGACAAATCAGTTGTGGATTATGTGTCCGAATTGAAGAGATTGTGGAGTGAGATTGATTACTTTGATCCAATTGATATGGAGTGTGGTAAGTGTATTGAGAAATTTAACAAGTGGACGGAAAAGAGACGTGTGAGGGACTTCCTAAATGGACTTCATTCTAAGTATGAAAACAGGAGGGCTGCACTGTATGGTAGCGGAAAGCTTCCTACACTGGAGCAGGCAATATCAGCTATCATTAGTGAGGAAACCAGATTGAAATTAGAGGCAGCCGGGTCAGTGATGCAAGGTATCATGCAGTGGCGATCAGCACTCTATGCAGTAGAGGGTGGAAATTATCAAAGGTTGGGATCAAATACAACTGAGAAGAAATGCTTCGAGTGCGGTCAGCCAGGACATTTGAAGTTTTCATGCCCTGAGTTAATGGGAGGCGGCAGAGGAAGAGGGCAGGACTGGCGTGGAAGAGGCCGTGGCCATGGGCTTGAAGGACGAGGCTACCGTGGGCGAGGTACACGCCCTGCTGCTAAAGCAAACACGTCGGTGATCACTGAAAATACCACCCAAACTATGAGTGTTGAGATGACTGCTGAGGATTGGGAGAAGTGGTGCCAATTCAAGGGGCTTTCTCTAGGTGACAAGACAACTGTTGAAGCGCCTACCTCTGCTGCCTTAGCAAATTTCGGTGGTAACAACTCTCACACTGTGATAGATAAGTCCATTGATGCACCATGGTTATTAGATTCAGGTGCATCTAGACATATGGCTGGTTCCTACAGAAATTTTATTGACTATACTCCTGATTTAAATAAGAAAACCGTTAAATTAGCTGATGGCTCCTCCCAAACCATTATGGGATCAGGAACAATTATGTGTAGCACTGATATGTCTTTGTCATCTGTTTTGCATGTTCCCTCGTTCCCAATAAATCTGCTATCCATCAGTTGCATCACAAATGAACTTAATTGTGTTGCTATCTTCTTTCCATCATGGTGCTTGTTTCAGGAACTTGGGACTGGAAGAAGACTTGGGACGGGGATCATGCATGATGGACTGTATTATCTGGATAATAATATGCCACCTGTGGTTGCAGCTGTTGTGTCCCTTTCACCACTTGACGAATTCCTTCTTCACCACCGCAGGCTAGGACATATGTCTTTTGTCACCCTTGGTAGGCTTTATCCTGCTCTTTATAGTAAAGTTAACCAGGGGAGTCTAGTATGTGACGCTTGTCAATATGGTAAACAAACACGTAGCTCCTATACATCGTCTGATAATAGAAGTGACACGCCACTTCAAGTTATACATTCTGATGTGTGGGGTCCTAGTGGAGTTTCATCTTTAAATGGATATCGCTCGTTTGTTACCTTTATTGACTGTTGTACTAGAGTGACTTGGGTTTATGTGTTGAAGAACAAGAACGATGTGTTTGAATGCTTTGTTGATTTTCATAATATGATCAGAACGCAATATAATGCTTGTGTGAAAACATTTCGCACTGATAATGGCACAGAGTATGTGAACAAGGAATTTAATGAGTACTTATCCAGTTTTGGGATTATTCATCACACAACTTGTCCAGGTACTTCAGAGCAGAATGGTTTGGCAGAAAGGAAGAATAGACATCTTCTGGAAATCACTCGTTGCATAATGATATCTATGAATGTTCCTAAGTTTTTGTGGGGTGAAGCTGTAATGACAGCTGCTTACTTGATGAATAGAATGCCATCCAGGGTACTTGGTTATAAAACACCGTTAGAGTGTCTAACGGGTGAAACAAAATATGTGGTTCCACCTAAGGTCTTTGGGTGTGTTTGTTTTGTGAAGGATTACAGACCATCTGTTGGCAAGCTAGATCCAAAGGCGTTAAAGTGTGTATTCGTGGGGTACTCTGGTAAGCAAAAGGGATATAAATGTTGGTGTCCATCTGAAAGGAGAATGTTTGTGAGTATGGATGTGGTATTTAGGGAGCAGGAACCATTCTATGGTGAACCGACGGATTTAACTGATGTCTTCCCTGATTTGTTTGCTAATGAAAATTTAGATGCAGATTGTGAGACAGGGGGAGATAAGGAAGAGGAAGATGATGCAACATCAAGAAAGATGATAGTTGGGGTAATTCCAGTGGAAACAGAGCAAGAACGAAGACATGAGCAGCAGTATGATACATCAAGTGAAGCATTCCGGTGGCCAAAACCAAATGAGGAAAGGGGGATTCAGGTGTATACACGAAGACGTCGTATTGAGGAGGAAAGGACGCAAGTGTTGGAACCTGAGCCCGAGGCTTATGGGCAACATGGTGAGCAAGAGAAGGAGGCTGACCAACAAGATAATACTCAAGTTCAAACTAGTGATACTGGACCTTCCTTGGACAGTGCTAACATCTCTTCTCAATATGATGACCTTGATGTCCCAATAGCTTATAGAAAGCAACCACGAGCTAGTGCCAGAAAATTGCCCTCTAAATTGGATCCTTATAATGTCTCCAACTATGTCTCTTATGACATTGTTGGTCCTTCTTACAAGTCCTTTATTGCAGCGCTGGATTCTGCAGAACCCTTACCACGGGACTGGCAGGAGGCAAAATTAAACCCAAAGTGGAGGGCAGCAATGCTTGAGGAGATGTCTGCTCTCGACAAGAATAATACATGGGTAATTACTCCACTTCCTTGTAACAAGAAAGTGGTAGGTTGCAAATGGGTGTTTACCATAAAACATACACCCGAAGGGAAAGTAGATAGATATAAGGCGAGACTTGTGGCGAAAGGTTATAGCCAGACATATGGAGTGGACTATGATGAAACCTTCGCCCCAGTTGCAAAGATGAACACCATCAGAGCTTTAATCTCGGTGGCAGCAAATAACAAGTGGAAGTTGTTTCAGCTAGATGTGAAGAATGCATTTCTTCATGGAGATTTGAAAGAAGTTTATATGGAGATTCCACCAAGGTTCAGTGGGCCTGAGACAATGGGTAAAGTGTGTAGATTGAAGAAATCACTTTATGGACTTAAACAGTCACCAAGGGCTTGGTTTGGGAGATTTCGCAAGGAAGTCTGCACTTTGGGTTTTCGACAAAGCAATGCTGACCATACCCTTTTCTTTAAGCACCACGGAAATAAAACTGTCGTATTGGTCCTATATGTTGATGACATTGTGATCACAGGGAATGATGATGTGGAGATAAAGAACTTGAAGAAAATGTTGGCGAAATCATTTGAAGTCAAAGACCTTGGCTTCCTCCACTTCTTCCTGGGAATAGAAGTAGCTTATGGAGCTCAAGGTATCTATCTCTCTCAAAGGAAATATGTGCTTGATCTTCTCGCTGAAACTAGGATGCTTGAAAGTAAACCAGCTGCCACACCAATTGAACCAAACCTTCGTATTACAGCCAATTCAGGAGAACCTGTTGATAGGGGGAGATACCAGAGACTTGTGGGACGTTTAATTTATCTATCCCATACTAGATCAGACATTGCATATGCCGTGAGCCTGGTGAGTAGATATATGCATGATCCTCGATCAGGTCATCTAGATGCAGTAAATAGAATTCTGCGGTATCTCAAAGGTTGTCCTGGAAAAGGAACTCTCCTTTCCAACCATGGGCATCTAGAAGTTGAGGGATACACAGACGCTGATTGGGCTGGGTGCTTGGATGACAGGAGATCCACTTCAGGTTATTGCGTCTTCTTGGGAGGAAATTTAGTCAGTTGGAGGAGTAAGAAGCAAAGTGTTGTCGCCAGATCCACGGCAGAAGCAGAGCTGCGATCCATGGCTTCAGGGCTATGTGAGTTGTTATGGCTTCGATTATTATTAACTGAACTTCGGTTGTTTAAAGGAGGACCACTCAGGCTCCATTGTGATAATCAAGCCGCAATCAACATTGTCAACAATCCGGTTCAGCATGATAGAACAAAACATATCGAAATTGATAGACATTTTATTAAGGAGAAACTTGATGAGGGAGAACTTCAAGTAGGTTTTGTTAAAACTGGAGACCAACTTGCTGATGTATTAACAAAGGGCGTGAGTGTTGTATCCTTCTTTAAGTTGTGTGGCAAGATGGGGCTCTTAGACATTTTCACCCCATCTTGAGGGGGAGTGTTGTGAGGAGTTAGTTGCAAATAGGAAAGTGAGAAGGGTTAAAATGTAAATGTAGTTTGTATATACTGAGACAAGGAGGAATGAATCGGAAGATAAGGTTCTTTCAGAAATCCCTAGCTTCCCCCCTTAGCTTCCTGACTAGAGAAGAGAAATCCACAAAATCCAACAACAATTACTTACAGTGAGTTCTTTTTTCCCTTAAACTATCCTTCCGTAAATGCAGCTTTTTAGCTGGTTGTAGAATTATCACCAAGTGCAACTCTTATGCCAAATAAGTCCATCACAACACTATTTACTTTCATACGCATCATTGTGGCCAGCATCCTAATTCAAGCTCTAAGCATTTTTCCCACAATATAATATATTATCTATCAATCAACGTGGACTTTCTTCTGTCAAGGATAGCAGACACAATGAATTACCTATATAACCTAACAATTCTAGATGCATATCCTACCATAGAATTATTGCAGGAGTTGGCCATTGTTAGATCATGTAAATATGCCATCTCACCCCTTCCTCACTTTTAGCTTCAAACTGATAGCGGCAACATTATTGATCTAAAATCAAATTGATGGTACCATGATATAAAATAACGCATGACAAAGTTGTATATTGTAGATATCAGATACGATTGCAGCATTCTTGTGTAATAATCTGAAGAACAAAAAGAAGGATGGCTACGAAAATATTGGGCCCTGCTACAAAATATCTTTTCTAGATAGGAATGAAAGTAATAAACCATATTCACGGTTAGACCTGTAACATATCTTCCTTCCTTTGCCTGAAAATTTTGCTTGCTTTAACCAGTAGTGGGTGAAACCTAACAATTATCTTAAGTGAATGGACGATGTGCTGCTCCTAGTAAATCTATCAAGCACCTATATTGTAGAAAATGGAGCATTTCCAACAGGAGGCTTTTTCTCTAGAATCTTCATACGAGAAAACTAAAAAGTAGTTTAGAAAGTTCATTTGATCGATGCCATTTAGCATTCTTATCTTCATCATAGATCTACCAAACTAAATAATTCTCAGCACAATAGTTATGTTGAACATATATGTATCTTAAATGCTTAGTGTATACTAATTAATTAAGCAATTAAAGATGTACTCCCTCTGTAAAGAAATAGAAGATCGTTTAGATCAGTACTTTAGTGATCTAAACGATCTTATATTTCTTTACAGAGTACCACACTCACAAAACTGAACTAAAAACTCTTAGAAATTGGATTAAGGAACCATGGAGTGATTAAGGAATGTAACGCAACTGAAGCAGAAATTGTTATGATAAGAACATGAGGGAAGGAGGATGGAACCCTTGTCACTTTTGTTCTCCCAAGAGACCTGTGTGAAAAAGAACCTAGAAGGAAACAGACCCGGCAACTTTACAGCTCTAACATTTTATCGAAGGAGAAAGTTAAAATGCTTGGAACCTTAGTTACAAATTGGCGTGTTAGCACTTGGTATCATCATCGATTTATTGATGAACCGTCTTTTGCTTCCTAGTCTACCTGAAATTCCTACTAATGAAAAATAAACAACATAAGCACATCTTGTGGCTGGACTGAATCGGTCCAGCGGCAGTACCTCCCCATGCACCACTTCTTCCGACCTTCACGTCACCACCTCTGACTGCAACTGCCTCCTATCCTGACAACGAGAGGCGAAGCATAGGACACCGGAGAGGAGGTGGGAGCCATGGCAGTGCCATGGCATATCTCTGACACCAGATACAACACACCCTACTCTAGTGTGTCCTCATCTCGATCTCTTGTTGTCGCTGTCGATGCCACTGAGCAAAGAGTGAGCAGCACGGGAGGAGGGAGGCTGTGGAAGCGGCGGCATGAGGGGTCTTCTTGTCACCCTCTTTCCTTCGTCTGGACTCTGGAGTGGAGGGGTGAGGAGATCTGTGGGGTGAAAGGAGCAAGCGGAGAGTGTGAAGCGGTGCTAGTGACTCCGTGGGAAGAGGCGTAGGAGAGTGAGAGGAGACTTAGGGTTTTGCTGGTGTTGGCCTGTTGGGCTTTGTTTTTGAACCCTCCACTCAATGTATCTAAGCCGTCTTCTTTTTTCACCACTAAATCAAGCGGTGTATGAGCTCCATCAATGCTAATGGATATTTTTCTCTCAAATGCTTAATGGAACTAATTTAGCTCTTAAATTGTTAGTGGATACTAATTTAGAGGTGGCAAAAGATGTACGGCGCTCACAAAACTGACGTAAGCGTGCTTAGAACTTGGAATAAGTATCCATGCAGTGATTAAGGAACGAACAAAACTGAAGCAGAATTGTTATGACAAGGACATGAGGGTGGAGGGTGCCCTTCCCATTGATGCATTACGCTGGGGAGGTGTTTCTTCATGCAGCTATGACTTGTACTCCCTCTGTTACATCATTCTTTTTCTCTACTGCTTAAAATAGAATAATACTGTTGAAGTATGTATGCTTTTCTCTTTAAATATCTACTTATCCGTTAGTTCATTTACTAGACTAAGAAGGCTGTTTTTTTTTGTGATAGTAACATAGTAGCTGTCTTTCTTGCATGTTGTAATTTTGTACAAGATAGAAGAAAATAATTTTTCCACAAGTAGCAAACGACTGAACGAGCGGCAACATTTTTTGTATTTCTTAGCTTTCATATATGTTTATCGCTGTACTTACCAAGGTCAATTTTTGTTTGCAGGGAATGGGTTTGGATGAAGCTTTAACCATTCTACCATCAACGTCTGCAAACAGTAACATCGGAGCATTATCCACCAGGATCAGTAATATGTGTACTGCAGTATATGAGTATCATGCTCCTGCTGAAATGATAATTATGGATAGCTGTATCCATGAAGATCAGGGTACTGAAAAAACCGTTTTAACTATACAAGGACGTGTTCTAAAGGTTTGCAATTTATCTAATATTCAGTCTCAGTATCAATTAATAACTATTATTTTTATTGATTCTAAAGGATTGCACTGAAAACTTGTCCGTCCAGCACAGACCTGAATTTGGTACTCTTGGCCCTTACAGTAGGTGTCTAGGAGATGAAAGGGCAAGCAAGAGTTATCAATCTGTCTGTTGGCCTTTCTCTCCTACCTTAGTGCCCCTCTCCTATGCGCATGCTATCGTAGATGCCATTGCTACCACGGCTAGTTGATGGCGACGCTGCAAGCCTAAGCTGCTCGTTCATCACGAGTTCACGACACTTACCAATCATGCTGCAAGCCTAAGACCCAGAAGCCCCTGCCGAGTGACATCCCGTCTTACAGCACAAACAAAACTCTAGCCGAGAAGCGTCCTCAAGGAGATCGACCTCAAGACATATCTAGGACCAGATCCAATCTAGATTATGCTCTTGTAATCCTTATAAACTTTTTTCAAGATCAATACACTATAGCAGGATGTAGGGCTATTACGCTACTTAGGGTGTGAACCTGGGTGAAACCCGTGTCTTTGGATTCAAAGAGATTCCTATGGGTCCTGATACCTTCGTTTGCAATTTCTACATGATCCTTAGCACGATCATAAGATCGACGGCTAAAAAACTATCAGCAAACGCAGTCGCGGTTGCACTCGCTCAGCGTAATTCAAGGCAGAAAATATCACCGGCGTTGGCATGCACACTGTCAATACCTCACTTCACCCTCTTCGTCGAGCTTCAGCAACAAATAACAACCTCCGGTTCTGAGTAGGCCAAACTTCGGGAGCAGGGCCTTCGCTCCGTGTCCAGGATAGCAGCAAGCTTCTGCAGAAATTAATTAGTCAGTCTTGGATCTTATGTTAGGAGTCTGAGTTGTCTTAGGATAAGATTCTAATTAGGAAATCAATGAGAGGTGTAGTCCGAGTCGCTTTTTATTTGATGGTGGTGGTCTAGCCCAAGTCTGTCTAACGGTTGTCACTGAGAGGATCTTGATCAATGAAAGGGCAAGATATAGTAGATATCAATATGTCTCCTACCTCGTGCTTCTTTCCTACCACAGCGCCTCTCCCTTATGCACATGCTATTCTTGACACAACTGCGCCCTACCACAGTTAGCGGTGAGGCCGTCTGAAGCTGCCTATTTACCACAGCTATTACCTGAGATCTGGTACTGGTCTTGGCATATTATGCTAAAAGGCGGTTATTCTGTATCATATTTGTAGTGGAATGTCATCATATGTTCACAAATAACTAAAAAATGTGTATAACTTTTCCCAATATAACTGCACATTGTTTGGTATCTGATATCCAGATGCTAACCTCAATCTGATATCCATTAAATAGAAGCTTTCTGTTTTTATCCTTAATTTCAGGGGGTTCTCAAGAAAAAACAGCAGCTAGAAATTCGTCCTGGATCATTTAGTCACGATGACAATGGTCAAATCATGTGCAATCCGGTCATTATCAATGTAGCAACTCTAGATTCAATTGGTGGTAATGATCAGTTGGAGCAAGCAGCCGCTGGTGATATGATTACAGTCAGGAGTAATATTGATTATGAGCAAATCGGTGGTATTGTTGCAGACATGAGTGGCTTTGTTATTGGTCATGTGGATAGTTTGCCTGATGTACTCTCAGCACTGAAGGTTAGAGAAACTAAAACTTTTAGTTATGAACTGTTTCTAGCATTTTGTTTTGTATGTTTGGGAGTCTACTTTTTTTTTACAAGTACATAATTTGGACTGTCTTGCAGCTTAAAGTTATTCTTCTGCCACTGATGTTTGACTCGTACACGGAAGATTTTAAGGAGGTCTCAATTATTGAGAAAGGTGAGGTACTGTTGGTGACCGTTGGAATGTTATCAGCAGCGGCAGAAGTACGTAAAGTCGTGGATGAGACTACTGTTGTTGTTACTCTCAAATCACCCATCTGTGCAAGGAAAGAAGACAAAGTGCTTCTTCTCAGATCTGCTAATGTGTGTTGGCGTTTAATAGGCCATGGCCAAATAGAGGATGCTACTGTTATCAAAATTGGCAAAGCTATTCATGGTAAGTGACATGTTGCAATGAATTTCTCTTGAATAGTTGAACTTTCTATTGAACTCATGGACTCCATTTCTCCACAGAACCGACCTAATGTTTAATGTTTCACCAACCTTTTGCACTTTGTTTGTCTGAAAGAACGCTTCTAGTGTTTAGGTTGTGGTTAGCAAAATATTTGGTTCTCACTTTGACTTAATGTAATGCGCATATATTTTTTGAAAAGCCAACTATTTATATCTACAATACCAAATATATAAAATGTGAAACTACATCTTAAGATGAATTTGGCATTCTAGATGTAAATTTTTTTCTCCATAAACTTGGTCAAAGTTTGTGGGGTTTGACTTTTCGAAAAATCTATATGCACTTCATTATGAAAAAGAGGGAGTATTAGAAGAAGGATATGCCAAGAAGGCGGAAAGGTTACAAAAAGCGCAGAACAAAACAAATCCAGAGCTAGCCTAGAACAACCCAAACTAAACTAACATACGAAAGCCTATAGAAAAGAAGATGAAAACCTAGGCTAAGCTAGACCAGCTGCTTGAAGATCTTGAATGCTGTGGGAGCTTCATCAACCCTTTGGCAGCTGCCAACTTCCACTGCTCTGCCTGCCTCAACATAACGTCTGCTGCATTGTCTTTCACATCCTAGCCGAGTAGATGTCTAGTAATGGTGAGTTGGTGCAGTCACATGCATTATAACAGAGTGTTACAGTCATGAAAAAAATATAGGTCGCATATTTACATAGTTACCACAACTTTTATTCTCTGCACTTTGATTTAATTTCCATGATAACGGAAACATTAGCGGTAGCTGTTCTAAAGTAATTATCGTGCCAACTAATTTCTGAGATTAAAGCAAAAACACAACGTGACAATCCTCAACTTTAGTATCTTAGTACGGATTGGTTTAACATGTGTATATGCTGTGTGGAAATATACAACTTTTATTTCCATGAGTCCATCTGTAGGTATACATACATGTACATGTGGGATAACCCAACCAAACGAAGCTATTTAATATTTTTTTTGAGTTCACAAAACTATTTAATTAGGAGCTGACTAATGTTTCTATAGAACAGGCATGGCCAACTTCCAGTAGCCATCTTATGTTGGCTAAGTAATACGCATGTAATGTTGGCTATTTAATATTTTGCCTTATAGTAGCAGCATTGCTCACTTGACCCTATTCATTTCAGGTTAATTTCATATCAATTATGAAATCCGAGGAAGGCCCTTGAAGACAATCCTACAGAATTTTGAAATTGCATCTTTTGACTTTGTGATATGGTGTAGCACGTTGACGGTTGCAGGAAGAACTAATGGCTGATTCTTTTGTGCAGCACGTTGATTCTAGTCATGCTTTGTCTTTAGTTGGCTGTAGCAACATTAGCTTTTGATAAAAGGCAGTTAGCCTGGACTCAGTTTTGTAGTGTTATTGACCTTATATGTAACCGTGATGAAAGGGACTCTGCTGATTCTTTTTTCGAGTATATAAGCATTGGCAGTTTGTATTTGACTAACTCACGGGCTTATAAAATTGTTGTGGTCGTGATGAAAGGGACTCTGCTGCTTAGTACCACTAGATGACCCGTTGCGCCAATGGCGCAAAGGCCGAGTGTAAGCTAATTATTGTAAGAGCATGCATTAACATATTGTTATTCGAAAAGAATAGCTCATTCTATACGCAGTAAGTACATAAGATTGAAAATGATGCAATAAGTCATGTAGGAAAGAACTCTTTTGATCTGTTTAGATTGGATAGACAATCATGCAGAGGCCTTTGGATGTGCACTTAAAGGTGAAAGCATATATTTCTTCCATCAAGGTTGTTTCAAAAGCATACCACATAGCAGTCTAAGCGGCAAATAACCGATAGGTAAATGGCTAAATGCACAGGATGGTCTTAGGGGATTACATAAGATCCAACAGAATGATAAACACAAAAGTCTTAATAGGCATCTACTAATACTAAGTTATATAACAAGGGGCTCTTGCAACCGAAAGTCCTTTTCTGTGCTCGAGCACATGTGCTTCCGGTATCGTCCCCGTTCAATGTCCCCGAGATCATGGACCCAGCACGTGGAGTAACTCCAGCACGTGAGGGCCGAAGAATTCTTATTTTGTTCAGGACCGATGGCCCACATCACAGACAACGCCGTCAGTCACGTTTCTAACGGAAGCACACGAAACGGACCGTCAAAACCGAGTCAAAACCGAGACGAACGGAGACGCTGGGCCCCATATATCGCGCTCCACCGTTGCACTTACCAATCTCCCGCCCGTTGCTAAAAAAAAGCTTCCTCTGCCCCCAAAAATGCGGAGATCTCTGACGGCGCCAAGCCCCACTTCTCGCCAAGCGATGCACAGGATGCTCGCTCGATCTACACTGCTGAATACAGGCCTCCCTCTCCCAATGCTTATCTATGGATAGGCATCCATTTTTTCTGCTCATGTCGTTCAAAATTTGAACTCGTAGATCTGCCTTTGTCTGCCGCACCAGAATTTTGTAGACACATGTCTGCAGACAGATATGAACGCAGCATGCATTAAACTTTTTGTACCTTTCCACTACAGGTACTGTCTTCCAATTTACCCAACAAACTCAAATACCAACATCATAATTCTGGAGGTATAACCATCAACGCCCACCCACATCATAATTCTCAAGATCAAAACACAGCCCTATTCACAACACATTCAGTACAGTTATTCGGACCACAAACTATTTATTCAGACAAGTTCCGCACAGGAAGTTCAAGGAATACATTGAGACACACTTGTCGATCTACACATGCAAAGGAAATTTTAAATCTTTACCACGAGACACAGGCTACAACAAATCAGTCCGCACTATCTGGAAATTGTCATACGCATACACCATATATCCTAACCATGCAAGTACTGTCTCAGGTACATCCCTATTTTTTCAGTCTCACTTTCAGACGTAGCTCTGCTGCTTCGTTGCAATTGTTCCGCCGGTGAGTGGTGACCTTTGACTCCACAGTTCTTGCATCGAGCAGGACTTCTAACCTGCTTTGGTACATCTCCGCGGTCTGGGCACGTAGTCCTTTTGTGCCCCTGTTGCCAGCAAATGGTGCAGAACCTGGTCCTCTTGCTCAACCCATCGTAAGTCGCTTTCTCTCTGCTGGTCGTAGGCCTGCCCATCTCATTCCTTTTTGCCTGTGTCAATAGTCCTGCCAATCTGTTCCCAGAGTCATCTGCTGAATTAACATCATCGTTGTGAAGGCTATTTTTTCATCTGTCCCCAGTAACAACAAGTGCCCATTCAGTCTGAATTTGGTTCATGACATCACCATTTTCGGCAATCATGTCTTCCGGTCCAAGCGGTTGTGCTCCTCAGAGTGTTCTGCTATGTACTAGCCATTGGCCTTGGACCACAACAACCTGATGAGAGCAGGGCATTCACAACGGCACGGCCATGTGTTCTCAACCCCCGCCTTCCCCTGTGTAAACAAACAGCCACAAAGAGAGAACACTTTTTCAGAGACAACTGCTGGATGAAATATTTTCAAATACTAACAATTTATAAATCCATACTACCATACCGCACAACCACAAACAATCTCCTGCATGCATTTTGTCCTCTCCACATTTAGCCTACTCTTGCCGTATCTTATGTCAGATCCTTTCTCCCCCGAATACAAGTCGTAGGAATCGTAGGCTTCACCAAGAGAATCAAAGCTTGCACCCAAAGTTGCCACTATGACATTATCCCCAGGATCAGTGGCGGAGCTACGGCAAGGCCAAAGTGGCCGCGGCCTGCCCAGGATCTGTATGTTTTTTCTTTCATACGCATCGGTAGCTCATAAGCCTGGTCTACTGGCAGACACCACCTAGGCCCCTAATCCCCATTACGCTCCATTTAGTGAGAGATTCGCACGACGCCAGGAATGGAGCAGTAATTATTGGCCACAAGGAGCAGCCGAGCAGCAGCGGCACAGCAAGCATCAGAGGCCACTAGCTGGCCAACATCATCCACCGCACATTCGCGCACCCAAGCGACGACGGTCTTGCCGTGCGTATATATTTGCTGATCTAGTTAAAAAATTATTGAGAACTGACTCATGTCTAATGAAGTAGCACGATTCATCGTAATTTTGAAAAAAAACGTGCACTTGTTTGCCTCGCCCGCCCAACTATTTTTGTGTAGCTCCGCCACTGCCCAGCATTGTTGGCAAAACCACATATAGTCTTCTCCAGAGCAGTAGTCCGATTAGGACATGGCGTCTTTCCCGGCGGAGCAGCACCTACCCTCACTCTGCAACCAAGCAAATCCCACAAACTGATACGAATTTCATGGATAGTTTTATAGAAAACACTAGCAAACATTTGCAAGCACCCGACACATCACTTTTTGCAGTGTAATAGTGCTCGAATAATAACATTTCTTGCCCCTGCTCTTCTACTTTTGGTTTAGCTGCACAATCACCGATTTCACAACTTTGTTAATAACAATTTCCTGATTTCACACACTAGCGGCAACATGGTAATTACTTCATATTCGAGAAACATGGTAATTACTTCAAACCATAAATCACGCAATGCCCAGTCTATTCTTCTTCTGAATTTCAGAAGCATGTACTAACAGATCAGTCAGCCCTGCATCTATATTTACATGGCCACACACCTAGTAGTTCAGGCAGTACCAACTCATAGGGACCCCTCCCTGTCACATTTTGCATGCTCAGCTTATTTCAAATCATGCCATAATAATTCGTCGCACAAATTTTGTGGTTCTGCTGAACTGACATACCTTCTTTTCCACCCAGGAGCTCTAGGGTCGATCTGTCCAATGGAGTGCTCCAACGCTCTCGGCGACCCTTCTCGGACTACATCCGTCGCCCCTTCCGCCGCACAGATCTGGCCGTCCGCATTCACCTCCACCATAGGCGCCAGCGGCTCCTCAATCGGCCGCGCCACCGAGTAGTGCAGCGGCTCCAACTGAATATCGCTGTCGTTCACCTCTTCCAGGTTCCAGCACGGTGGCCCTGGGCACCCAGATTGGAAACAGAAGATTTATCTTAGCGAGCAACCCCCAAAATCACTCACCACAAAATACAACAAGTGGACAGATTGCTCACCTCTTAATCTGCATAAGGAACTCCATCTTTCGCCGGTTCCGCTCAGCCCTCCTCGCGCACGAGAATCGCCGCTGAGCTCCGCCGCTTCCGCAAGTGACTAATCCAGGCGGCGGCGGAGGTAACCGGAAAGCAAGTTTCCCGGGCCACGGATCGGAAAGGACATGACGTCATGGGCCACGACTCGTCTTCGAGGTGTCCACGGCGTTCTAGCTCCGTCACAAACATGGCCCACCGTCCAGGGTTCACGGCGCACGTGACATGGCCCACGAAGTGAATCCCATCGCATCCCAACGCTATAATGAACCGCCCAGATAACAAGTCCATTTGTGCTCGAGCACAATTAGTCCGTGTCCCTCTTGCAACTTGCTTATATTGAGTAGACGATCACGCAGAGTCCCTTGGAAGTGCATTTGAAGGCGAAAGCATATACTTGCCCTTCGTTCATGTGTGCCTGATGGAAGAAGTCGCTCCAGCCTTTAGTGATGGTGGCCCTTTTGTCAACACCCTTGATAAAGGGGGTCGTGACAGCGTAGTTCCGTCTTCAATAGTGATTGACAGTTCACCATGGTCAGCATCCATGTGTGGGAAAAAGGAACCCGTAGAAAGGGAACGCTAAAGTACTGAAAATAACAGTAAAGGTTAGTTACTATAACATTTTCTACCATGCTATTATATGAAACCGGACAGAGTAATTGCAAAGGATTACCATGCTTTTGCCTTCTGTTGCAAATGTTTCTGTCATGTGGCACACATAGTAGTTATCAGGCGTGGTGGTGCTGCAGATGATCTTTCACAGTGTACGAACATTATGGTTATAGAGCTTAACTGTGTTGCCCCACGCAATGTGGTGACTAAACTCATCTAAGTAGTGGATGCAAGGCTCACCTATGTTAAGTTGTACAAAGTTATATCTTTTAGCAGTTGTTGCGAGAGTTGATGGAATGAGAAGAGTAATATAGCTCTTACCACGGAGAATGTACTTTCTAGGCTTTACATGGATTTTCTTGCCTTTGAACTTTTGGATTCGAGTTTGCTTTGCATGGGCGATGAATATACTCGGCTTATTGTGCTTCTGACACAGTGGTTCGTCTGTGTTGGT